ATAGTACATTTATATTTACAAAATTAAAGATAAAAATACTCCAAAAACACCCCAGTTTCAAAATGCCCTTAAGTCGTACCCCTCCCAAAGGGGAAGGGCAGGAATCGTCTCAGCCACAACAACAACAGCATAGACAACAAAGGTCACAACAGCAACAAGAATCCCAACTTCCTCTGCAGCCCGAAACACCGCAAAAATCACAGACACAACAGGAAAAACAACAGCAACAACCGGAAAAGCAAGAACAGAAACAGCAACAACTGTCGATCTCAAGACAGTCACCAAATTCGTGGAGCTCACAATGCCCTACCTCGGCCAATAGTAAAAATCCAAAGGACCAGGATCAAATTGAGCAACTTCAAAAGCAATTACAATTACTGTACCAACAGCAAGCTTCAAATGATAAACCTACCCCAGTTAAGGAATGGACGACAGTAGAACCCAAAAAAAAGCCCCGAGAAAGCCCAGGTAAGCCCTCAAATACTAAAAAACAAGCAAAACTTGATAAGTACTGGCTAGGCGAATCCCAGTCTAAAGAAAATAAGTTGACATCTCTTGAAATAGAAGACGATGAAGACCCAAAGCCCAAAGAAAATAATCCCAAGCCCCCACCAATCTTCGTTGATAAAGTAAGCAACATTACCCCCCTAACGAAGCTTTTATCCGAAACTGCTCCAAGTCTGTACGACTTAAAGCTCATAAGCAATGAGCAAGTTAAAATACAAGCAAAAACTCCCGACGCCTACAAAACAATTGTTCAGCAACTAGAGCAAAAAAACACTGAGTTTTATACATACAAGCTAAAACAAGAAAGAAGTTTCAAAGTTATACTTATGCACTCGTCTATTGGCACCGAAGAAATCGCTGAAGCCCTACGAAATCTCGGCCATATCCCTATTAACATTTACAATATGCAACACGAAAAAACCGCTACCAATGTTCATTGTAGAGCTAAAATCAAACCCTAATAACAAGGAAATATACGATATCAAATATCTCTTCAACACAAAAATTGTATTTGAACCCCCACGCCCAAAACGCGAAATCCCGCAATGCGCTAACTGTCAACAGTATGGACACACAAAAGCATACTGCCGTAGAAGACCGGTATGTTTTAAATTCGCTGGCCCCCACTTGTCTGCAAATTGCTCGCGCAAGACAAAATCCAACGATGTTAAATGTGCTCTGTGCTCTGAAGGAAATCACCCAGCAAACTATAAAGGCTGCATGGTGTACAAAAATCTGCAGAAACTTAAATACCCACCATTAAGAAGAATGGACGACAACAATCCCAAAAGTATCAGCCAGCAGCAATCAGCTCCACTTTCACCCAATCGAGTCTCGCAACCGCCCCGAAATTTACTTTCTTACTCCCAAATGTTGAAAAGCACACAAGATCCGAGTCCTAGTAACTCAATCCCTCAATCAAAAGAAAACGCCTCTGATGCCTCAAGCGAAATGCGAGAAATGATAATGCTTCTCAAGCAAGTTATGCAACACCCTTACGACGAAGTCCGGCATCCCTACAATCCCATGAATATTCTCCTGTGGAATGCTAATGGCCTATCAAAACACGTATTCGAGGTTAAAATGCTACTCAAGTCTAATAATATAGATATTCTCCTAATATCCGAAACCCATTTCACCGAAAAGAGCTATTTTCAAATACCGAATTACAAACTCTATCACACAATGCATCCCGATAAAAAAGCACATGCTGGCTCAGCTATATTAATAAAAAAACAATATTAAACACTTTAATATTAACTCATACTGCACAGAAGCTATCCAAGCTACTAATATAGTTGTTGAGGACTTGAAAGGCCAAATAACAGTCTCAGCAGTATATAGCCCACCCAAGCATGCGATCAAGTCAGAAGATTATGTTAAATTCTTCAAAACTCTAGGAAGCAGGTTTTTAGCTGGAGGAGACTACAACGCAAAAGACCCACTATGGGGATCTCGCCTCATCACTCCTAAAGGCCGACAACTCTTTGCGGCTATGGCAAGATTAAATCTTCACTCAGCCTCCTCAGGCTCACCAACGTATTGGTCAACCGATACCAAAAAAATTCCAGACTTAATAGACTTTTGCGTGTTTAAAGGTATTGCAGATAATGAAATAATATGTAATCCCTGTTTCGATTTATCCGCTGACCATCCTCCCGTAATGGTCATTCTAAGCAATAATCTTGTTGACTCAAATTCTCAATGTTCCCTTCAAAACAACAGAACTGACTGGAATCTCTTCCAAAGCCTAACATCTTCAAAACTAAATTTGAAACACTCGCTGAAATCTAGCGAAGATATCATTGCAGCTGTTGAACACTTCAATAACTGCATCCAACAAGCTGTTTGGAGATCAACGCCCATTCTAAGCAAATCACAGTGTACAAGAATCTCTTCTCTTGTAAAAGAAAAACTGACCAAAACACGCCAGGCTAGAAAGAAGTGGCAGCAAACTAGACATCCCGAAGACAAAACAAGATTAAATACGCTAACTAGAGAGCTCAAAGAAATCTTGCAAAAAGAACGCAATTCCCAACTTCATCATTACCTCAGTAACTTAGATGCAACAGCTGCCTGCGATTATTCCTTCTGGAAAGCAGCAAAAAAATTAAAGAGGCCAACTCTGGCACAACCCGCCATCAGAATGGAAAACAACCAATGAGCTAAAAGTGATCTCGAAAAAGCAAGCACATTTGCACGTCCCCTAAAAAATTTGTTTGCTCCGCATGAAATTGAACCCTCTCCCTATACTACACAAAAAGTAAGACAGACTCTCGAACAACCCTACCAAATGGACCCACCCATAAAAAAATTCTCAAAAGCTGAGGTTAAGGAAGCGATCAAAAAAGTCAAAGCTAAGAAGGCTCCCGGTTACGATCTAATCACTGGAGAAATATTAAAACAGCTCCCGGAAGAAGGAATCACTTTCCTGACTTATATTTATAACGCAATTCTCTCATATGGTTTCGTTCCACCTCAATGGAAAGTTTCCCAGGTAAAAATGATTCCGAAACCAGGAAAAAGTGCAGAGTTGAGTCATATCGCCCAATAATCAGTTTGCTACCCATCGCCTCTAAAATTCTAGAGACTCTTCTTCTCAAAAGATTGATGCCAGTAATAGAACAAAGAAAGATTATCCCTGATCACCAATTCGGTTTTAGGAAAAAACACAGCACAATCGAACAAGTTCACAGGCTTGTAAACTGCATTCACACTGCATTCGAACACAAAAAGTATTGTACAGCTGCATTCCTCGATATATCTCAAGCTTTCGATCGAGTATGGCATGACGGCTTACTTTACAAAATAAAGAGTACCCTCCCGATAAACTATTATATATTTATCGAGCCCTTCTCAAAAATCGATTTTTCTTGGTTAAGCAAGGCGAGGAGCAGTCTGAACTCTACGAAAGTTCAGCTGGTGTACCTCAAGGCATTGTGATGGGTCTCATCCTTTACCTGTTATACATTGGCGAATTAAGCCAAATGAAACAAAGTCTGTCCAGGTTACGTTCTCCCTTAAACGTAAAACCTGCCCGCCCGTAAAACTCAATAACGTGGATATTCCACAGCGTGATGCGACAAAATACTTAGGCATGCACCTCGACAGCAAGCTTACGTGGAAAACTCATATTTTCACTAAACGCAAAGCACTGGGAATGAAGCTCAGAAATTTACATTGGTTACTGAACCCGAAGTCTCAAGTCTTACTCGAGAGTAAGCTCTTACTCTATTAATGTGCTTTAAAACCAGTATGGACATACGGAATACAATTATGGGGCTCTGCAGCAACCTCTAATATAGAAATACTCTAAAGATTCCAATCAAAACCTCTTAGAATGATTGTGAACGCTCCGCTCTAAGTCACAAACAACCAAATACACCGTGACCCTAAAATCCCTACTGTTGCTTCCGAAATTAAAAAGCACGCCTTGGCGCACCGACAAAAAATTCATGATCACCCAAATCCTTTTATTTCTACACTCACTTCTCATACAGTGTCATTCCAGCGCCTTAAAAGGAAATCAATATTAGATCTCTAATAACATTTTGAATACCTGCGAATAGAATATGGTTGTGCCACTGGGTGTACTCCATACATGATTATTTTCTTATTTAGTATTTAAGTTTCAAATATTGCTTAATGTTAAAAAGAAAAAAAACAGATCGCAATAAAAAATATGAGTTCAAAAAATAAAAAATAAAATTTTAATTATGTTTTTATTCGTGGAATTTTTTATGTTTAATAGTTTTGAGAACATTTTTTGGTTCGGTGTATTATTTTATTGCATGCCTTAAACTTTTTTACTTTTAGTTATAATGTTGAAGATATGCCTTCTGCCTTTGTCAAGCACTTTAGCGAGAAATTTAGCATATGCGCGTAAGAGCATAGAGTAGGTATACGGCTGTGCTGCCGCGATTCTCCAACATCTTGTCAAAGGAGAAAACATATTGGTGGCGGAATCCATCGTAGTCCGATTTTTCATAAAATCTACGAAAAAGCGATACCTGAATCTGAACTGCTATGAGCGCGTGTATTTAAAGCAAGCGCTGCGTTCATAGCTACTCGAATTTAATAGCATTTTCGTAGATTTCACGAAAAATCGGACTTCGATGGATTCTATGATAGCCTTGATTAGTTCGTGCGATTATGACTTATGGATCGATTATGGATTGTAACGGAACCTCTGTTGGGTTGCCGATGGGCAGCGCCACTAAAATTAAAATGTTTTTTTTATTATGAATAGCAATATTTAAGTTTCATAAAGTTCAAGGTGATACAAATTAAAAAAAAGGTGAAAAAAGAAATAAAGTATCTCAATCCAAATTTCCCGGCGCCCACAAAAATGCAGTTGCCAATATAGCAACTCAGTTGCCAGCTTTCAGTTGCTAGTTGCCATCGGTAATACCGTTTCAGCCACTGGCCAACCAACTGTAGTTCGGTTGTCCTCCGTAATCGACCAACAAAATCGGAATCGAATATGCATGCACGTTCTGCAGAACGATAAATATTTTGTAAATGTGTGCTCTGTCCGCTAGCGAATTCCAGCCATGTGTGAAATATCGTATGTGAAGCCTCCGTCTGACTGAACGATTGTCAAAGGCATGCCAGAAGATGTTTCATCATATGTTTTCGGCTATCGTCTTCTTCGAGTAAGTTTATCGATTCCAAAAACTTTACAACCTCTATGTGCACTATTGCACTGTTAATAACCAAATTTATCCGCAGTTGCATTCACACGTGATATAATAACTAGTGTCGGCAAGCTGTGGGAATGCCCAGGAGATGGCGTTTGTAAAGCTGTCGAAATCATTACACCGACGGCGGTGGGCAGTACTGGTGGAACATATTTACCACAGCCGTGGTTGCGGCGTTTTGTTCTGCAACAATAGCCTGCAATGATGACATGTCATATAATGTCGACGAACAAAGATATAAAATTGAAAATGACTAACCTTTTTCCCGGCCGATTTGGAAGACCACCCTTGGTCACGACCAGAACGCATTTACCAAGAGGAAAAACCGCAGGAATTGCAGTAGTTCCTGCAATTACCGTTGATGATGCTGTGCTGGTAATTAATAGTCTGAAAAGACAGAAAATTGCATTAATCAAATGTTATACACATCAAATAAATAAATTTCAATAATTTGTTTACCATTTAACAAACCGAATTACGAAGAAATAGAAACTCACCGCGATGCGATACACAAATAAAAACCAACAGGGCTACTTTTCTTGGTAAACAACACAAGCGCTCAGAGCAATCTGATCCAGAATATTATTTTCTGAAAAATAAGAGTTGAAAAGAGTTTTTAAACTTGATTATCACATTATCTAATTAGCGCACACTATCGTGTTTATATTTAGTAGAATATAATTGTGTTATCTCAGACTTTTTTTCAATGTATTCTAATATTCGTTCTTTTGGCAAGCAAAAGCAACCATGCGCTCAATTTCTTGTGGGGAAATTTGGCCCCCATAAAGGACTCTCACCATGAAACAGCTACAAAAACAAAAACCTTTTCTACTGGTATACTGTGCTCGCGACCAATCGGACTTGGAAAAAAACCTCGTGTTTTGGTTAAATTAAGATCTAAGGAGAATAGAGATCTGGGCCGAAACAAATAGCCTATGTTTAAATGCTGCCAAAACGCAGGTAATACCTATATCACCTCATTCTGTTGATCTGAATTGTCTATCGCCATTTATATTGGGGCAAAACGTGTTGAAGTTTCGATATGTTGTGACTAATCTGGGCTTTAAAATTAACTCTCGCCTGACTTGCACAGATCATATCAACCACTGTATCTCTAAAATACATGTTATTGCCTACAAAATAATACAAAATTGAAGCTAGTTCAGTCTCTTATTGTTCCCCATATCACGTATTCTGAAATAGTGCATGGAAATCTTGATTATGAACCGAAGAATAAATTAAAGGGAGCTTTAAATAATGCTGCCAGATTTATATATTGTAAGTAAAAATTTGACCATATATCATTGTTCACTGAAAATATTCTCAGTTTTACCATCGAAAATTACTTAAATATCTTATTCTGATTTAAACTAATCAGAACCCGCAAATCATTATACCTGTACTGTAAGTTAAAATTTGTTCAATCGTCTCGAACCTGTAATATTGTTGTCCCTAAATACCAAACATTAATAGCCTCAAGATTATTTTTTGTTAGTGCTATCAGAATATGGAATTCACTACCAAATTAAATTAAATGTCTAAGTTCGATTCAATGCTTCAAAACAGCAGTTGCATATCTACTCCAAAGTTAACTATCCACTTCCCATCATCTGTCTTCTCAAGTTTTCTGTCTGTTTTCTATCCTTTATTGTTAGTTATAATATAGCAATAATGATATTTAGTTCATATATTTACTTACATATATTATTATCTTAGCTTAGGTTTAATCTTGTAATTGAAATTTGTTATTAGTACGCTTAAATACTTCGAGTTTTACTGTACTTACAAAGTAAATAAATGAATGAAAATGAATGAAAAAAAAGGTCAAGATTTTTTATTTAAAGTTTCTAAGGTCATTTTGAATTCGCTGTGAAGAAAATTCAACCCTGCGCCGGCTGACGTGGGGAATATTAGAGGAGTGCAGCTATATGTTTTCCTAACGAACTATCTGAATGAGTGCGACCATGAGCGTAGCCAGAACGAAATTTAGGGGGGCCCTATACAAATTTTTTTTTTCAAAACCAATAATTATTTCTAAAAAATCGTTATTATAGCTTAAAATTATTGTAACCAATAGAGGTATGTTGTACACGAACACATAAATAGAAGTTCACAAAAGTTGATATAAAACTGTCACATTAAAGTGCAGCCAAGAAAGGAGGATGCCGTAGATTACCACAATTACAAAGGATGGTATTCCCTGGTTTTATTGGCAAGCTGTGATCACAGGTAAATTTATGGCTGCATTGTATCGCATGCATTTATATATTTTTAAATTATTTGGACTTACAGGTCAAAATTTACGTATATTGACATTGGATCCACTGGAAGAAATAATGACTCTTACATATTTGAAAAAAGTTCATTAAAACAATTTCATGAAAGCGCAGACATTTTCGTACTAGCTCAATGGCGGAGTTAATATACCTGTGCTACTTATGGGCGATTCGGCCTTTCGGTTATCGCGCCACATGATGAATCCATATCCATATGTAGCTAACCAACCAGCTGGAATCAGCAAGGAATCAACCTAATCACACAACAAGAGTTGGTGAAAATTACCTAACAGCAGCGGCTATAGGGAATGCCATTGCTACGAGTTTTCCTAAGTAAAAAGACTTCTATTTTGATGCTCGAAGTAGACTTTTTTATTTAAATTCATTTCCCTTTCAGTAACTTTCTATTTTAATTAATTTTTTCTCACATAAATACATATACGTGTGCCTTAAATTAGATTAAAACTAAAATTAAATCCATTTTTATTCTACCTTTTTTTGTCTTTTTTAAGTAGGAAGATCTCCTCCAACTTTGCCATAATTACGTATAAGTATACTCATGAACAAATAAATGGGTGTGCGGCATTTTGATAAATTTTGGTTGTATTTGCCTTTTTTTGTTTAATGTTTATCAACTTTATATAAAATTCTAGCGTATATTACTCACAGCATATGTAAAATTCATAAAAACTTTTTCTGTTTCCACAGCGAGGGACTCCTATCTTTTTCTTTTCTTCTCTGCAATTTTACCTACATTTGCAATTAGTGTTCAGAATGGTTAAATGGAAAATCACTTACCTATATCTTTGGGTCATGTTTCTGATTTGTTTCTGGACCTCCTTTGCAGTAAATTTTGACGCCATCTGTGTCGATATATCTGTATATATGTATATGCAGATTGCGCTTCGCCCGTCGCAAGTCATTCGCACGTTCCGCCCATAAATCCAATAGCACTTTCTCGTCGCTGGTGCTCCAAGTATTGCGTTTTTTGTCGCTGGGCATCTGAAATTAGTTATAATTCATTTTATTAATATGTTTCATATATTTAAAAAAAAAATTTTCAAATAACTTACTTCTTACATGCTAGAAAACATATGCCAAAATTGGACAGTGTTGGGATATGCAAATTGGAAAATCCAGTATAAATGCTCATTTGTTTCGAGCATTTCCATCGAGCCAATGCGCATTTATGAGGGGATTATTCACGAGTTAAAGCAAATAAATGCTGCTAATGACAATAATCCCATCCATCTGTCTACCATATAAGACTCTTTTAAAACGGCATCAAAGCTTGTGAACTCTTGAACCACCTGGGAGCCCACCATAGCGTAACGCAGGGGCGGGTTCCGGGACATGAAGGGCTTGACGGCAACGAAAAGGCTGACTGTCTCGCAAAGCGTGGATACCAATTGAGCTTGCATGGTCCCGAGCTATTCTGTGGTACATCTAAAGCTGTGGTCGGTAAAACTGAAAGTGAGATTGTGTTGGTGAGCGCAGAGCAATTTGAGCTACAGTGGTGTAAAAGCGAATCGCATGGGGTAAACGAACGAACGTAACGAATGTACGAATGCTTGTGAGAATAACAAATTTTCCTTGAGAAAAGTAATGATTTTGTTTTTTCGTTACAAAATGATTTTTGTATGTATGTACATTAGAGCGGTCCAAAGAGATTTTTCGGAGTTATGGTTGGGGCACATTCCAAAATTTTTCATCTTGCCGAAAGAGGTGCTGCTACCAAACTTTACGTTTCTAAGTATAAATTTAGAGGTTGCTCATGAAATTTTTATATTTTACTCTAGAATTATATTGTCCATATATGTATTAACCAAACAATTAGTTAAGCAACCTAAGACCATTTCAAATTTAAATTAGCTGAAAAAATATTACAAGCTTCAGTTGTCATGGCAACACGGGATTCAGAAGCGCATTTCAAGGTCATTGAGCACCCTGTAATTGAAAGTTGGTATAGGTATTACAAATACCAAAAGAAAAAACTAAGGGGTACCCCCCTTCTACGATGACAGTTTCCCCCCATGCAAAAATTATCGTTTTCGATTTTTATTGAAGGAATGACTTTATTTGGTAAAGCTAGTCTACAATTCTCAAGAAAACCAAAAAATTCTTGTAAACTGATGTTTCCGAACTTTGAAAAAAATCTTCTATGAAAAATTCTTAAATTAGTCTGCAACGCTCAATAAAAATGGCAAAGTAATTTAATGAAAAATAAGAAAATAGTTTTTGTATATCAAAGGCGATAATACCTTAGTAAAAGAATTATATGTGCATAATATTTTTCCTCTATTTCTCTGTATTAAACAAGGGTCAAGTTTTTTGTGGTATGCGGTTACATGCGATTACTTCTGGATATTCATTTTTCTCAAAGTAAAAAGATTTTATATATTTTCCAAAGCTATAGGTGCACAAGAGTTTCGTTTCGCCAAAGGAAGTTTTGCCATGGAAATAAAATGAGTCTGCAATATTTATGGTAGGCGTCTGCATCAACTATATTGCAATTTTTTTCATGACTGAAAATATCGGTTCTCATATCAATTCTTTCTACAAAATTTATATTTTTTGTTAAATGCCAAAAGCGTATTTTTGTGCAATAGATTGAGCTGTGGCTTAGCGATTTATTTATTTAGCCTAGGTACCAAGTCCGTATTTGTTATTTGCTGCAAACTGTTTCTTGTGACAGATAGATTTAACTACATATAAATTTTTCACCAAATCATGTTGTCCCTAGTAGCTAGACTTTGGATGTACCGTTTGGATTACTATTTGAGGTTTGTATAGGACCGCTAAGCCCATGATTTCCATAGTCTACAGAGTTTTTTAGTTAGTTTCTTATCATATTCTGATGTCTGCTTACTTTAGCAGTTATTTAGCTATCTTTCATGCCAGGAAAATTCTTTACCGTTATCTTTCCGTACTCTTCTTCAGTTAGTTCAATCCCATGGGATATTATGGCCCGTGATATAAAATGGAAAAACAATAAAATGGGTTCTAGTATGAAAATTGCTTCTAAATATTTTAGTTGTTAGTGTACTTTTTTGTTGAGAATTTATGACATTGCAGCAATCGGAAGCCGAATAACTCCTTATGCACATATAATTATTTACTATTGCATGTACTACTGATTGCTGAAACGGTAGATAAAATTATAAACGAATACAAACCTAATATATGGAAAATACTTGTAAATCAATTGCTATTCTAATTGCATACCACAAAAACCTTTACCCTTATTCACGGGCGTAGCCGGAATGAACTTTAGGGGAGCGCTCTATTAAATTAAAAAAAATAATAAAATAATTATTACTAAAAAATTGTTTATTATAACTTAAAATTATTGTAACCAACAAAAACACATAAATAGAAGTTCACAAAAGTTGATATAAAACTATTTGTCGATTTAAATAATTAACTTTTTACTGCACATGTTTTTTTACGAGGAGGAGGCATCGAAAGCCTAACCCCGTCAGTGTGAGACTTTAACCCAAACTAAACCCCCGTCATGTACCACCCGGTACCATCATCAAGGATTTCGTCGTGATAACAACACTGTGTGACTGATAAAGTTATAGATCTATTGAAGCACACAAAATATGCATACTTAGAATTTTGAATACCCCCTCACAATCTGGACTTAAGGTATAACAACGCGTTTTTCGTAGTATGAGCCTTATAATTGTTCGTAACTTCATTTCTGTTTATCCGATGAAAAATATATAGAGTGCGTACACGGTAGCCGCAACCCTCAATACGCGCAATTCCTTGATTAATGCAAGTCTCTAAAACAAAACATTGTAACCTTTATAAGTGCAACTTCAAAATAATTTTACCTCAATACCTACAAACTTTCTATGTTTGTGCATGTCACGCACACAAAATTTGAACTTTTTACATTTCTTTGATTAACCAGTATTCTGGAAAAGCTACAAAGTGGTGTTTCTGTTAAAGTGATGTGTGATGAGCAGGACCGAAGAAAATAAGCAGGGAAAAAGCAAATTTAAGTTCTTAGATAAACATCAAAACATTAGTAAATATGCTTCCAAATATGCTCGAAAAACAACCTTTTAAGTACCGTTTAATGTTTTGTTTTTTATTCAGTTTATTTCAAGGATTGGACGGAATTCGAAATTAGCATATTTCCAGTGGTGTTAATGCATCGATTTAGTTGTCACTTCTTTTCTATTATTAAAAATAATGCGGATTATATTACACTAAGATACGAATCCTTAATTTCTTTTCAAGACTGAATTTAATTGTTTTCAAATATTTGTTATCCTCCATTTGAGTTAATTATTTTTAATCTCTTCAATAATACCAAAGCTTTCTCGTAGAGACCAACCTTTGGTTATAAATTTTTGTTCTAGGCAGAACTGCAATTGAAGTAACGAGTTAAAAAAAAAAAACAAATCGGTTTTTATGTTATTACTAGCAGTACTTGCGAACTCCGTATCGCCCAAAATTAGTTTTTTATTTAAACATTTGGTCCAACGTTTTTACCAACAATCACGTTCAAGTTTGGTTTTGTGGTCGTCCGAAGGCATATCCTCCATTGCCGTCTTAAATAACCTAATGAAAGCGTTATGTCCGTGCAGAAGTTCTTGTGGCAACAATTATCTGGTCCGATGGTGAATCGTCCTTGAATCTGTATAGTACAATTTGTGGCAATTTCAAAATGCAGGAGTATTATTAGTCTACAGAAATCCAATATACATAGACTTATTTCAGACGAAATACTTTAGAAGTGTTACAATTGTATTTGTAGGCATTTATCAAGAATTGTCTTTATTCTGTTTAGTTGTCGCAAAGCAAGGACCCCAACCGTTCTGGTGATTGATTTAACGGTGGTAATTTAACTTTGATACTTGGTGGCTCTGATTGACTTCACTTGACGATTTTTACCAATAACTCGACTTCAGCGCCACCTTGCATCTCTTTATGTGCAATAGTAGATATTGCCCCTACCTTTACCAATATATTTATACCTCGAATATGAGCTAAATCGGACAATGAGACAAATTTCATGGATAGCGGGGATTTCAGTCTTTATTTTCTCGAGAACATCAACCAACCGGCCAGATGCACCATCCCGATTAAGGGTCCGCATATTCCAGGTGCATACCATCAAATCATGGTCCTTTCTACGTTTGCCTTGATCGTCATCAAAAGAAGGGGTATCATCCGAGGCATGGTTTTTTTTCAGGGTAGGGGTTTAACGTGCAGGGACCCTAACCCAGCGCACGCGGGCTTATACGTCTTGTCATATTGGGTGTTTGGTCGCTACACAGGGGATACGTGGATATAAATATCCGGACGAATTGAGCTGCGATTTGAACCATAAGCAAACAAATCACTTCTGGCCACTCCCAGGTGAATGGCAAAACCTTGCAGTACTGGGAAATTTACAGAACATAGTGGTCAAAGGCGAATATCTCAACTAAAACCTGATTTTTTTTTTTTAATTCATACCTCTACGTACCTGTATACCAAATAGCCGGACAAGACGTATTCTAAATAAAAAATATAAAAAGTTAAATTTTCCGTATACTACAGTGATTCCCAAAGTGGTCCAGCTGGCCCACCAGGGGTCCACGGGTTGTAAGTGGGGGTTCACGAAAATTTATCTGGTCTCGATAGTAAAGAGCCAAAATGGTTGCTTGATAGCCTATTTATTTAACTTTAATATAAAGTGCTCTCGACGAACTGGTGAACTTACCTTCACTTTGTGTCATCATACGTGGGGAAGCCTTAAAGGCCACCTGCACACTGAAAGGGAACGGATGTTGGTATAACATGAGTGAGGCGATGCGGATATTGCCGGCGGCAGATATTTGAGCACTTGTGTCTTTTCAATGCTACAGGATACTACGCCACCATTACCTTTGTTGAAGAGATTCTAGAGAGAGAGAGTTCCCTGAGGGGAATGCTGGTTTAATTCCAGCACTGAGCCCGCACTCGCACATTGTCGAATTCAGTGATGGCTCCAAAACTGACTTAGGGTCAGGATCTGGAGTATTTTTTCGCAGTTAGTGGGGATAAGCTTCACTTTTTCTCTTGGGGAATATACTTCGGTCTTCCAGGCTGAAGTATTTGCAATCCCCAAAGCCATAGACTACGTGGTGGAAAATAGGTGGCGGGGAGGGGGGTACAGCCCTCTACCTAAGTACTTCCAAACTAGTTCGGCAATGCGAGTCTCGACTAAATTATGTCGGTGAAGATAACAAGCTTGCTTTACTCTGGATTTCGGGCTACTCGGGAGTGACTGGAAATGAGACATCTGACCCTTTGGCCACAGTTGGCTTAGACCAGGCTATCGAAGCCACCATCAGAAACTGGGTGGATACTTCGCTCAGCAATGACTGGGAGCCATCGAGTGGATGCAGGTGGGTAAAACTCATGTTGCCTTCAATCTCAGAATGTCTATATAGTTTTTTCCTTTCACTGAGAAGACGGGACTGCTGACTGGTCACATCACGTGGCACAAACACCTGACCATTTGCCCATCCTGCTTTGAAGAGGATGAGACGGTGGAACACTTCTTGAGCTTCTTGCCTGCTTGTTTATTTATCAATTTATAGATTCGGTCTTTTGTGTTTGCCAGTTTCTGAATTTGAAGTTTGGCCTAAAAAGCTTTGCAGTTTTGTTGTTTCAAGTTCTGAGTTTTAAAAATGCGGGTGACGAATATTTTTCGCATCACTTTAAAACTCGGAGCGATTAAAATAAAAATTAAGCCATCAACACAAATAAACTATTTGACAAATACATCACATGCAATTCACGAGTGAGCCGAACATGTGAGGAGTTTATTTATTGCTCTTAAAAAATATAACTCCTCAAAGCGAGATAGTTCTTTCATGGCTTTGCGAGGTCTGTTTTTTAAAACTTCCAAGTATGTAATCACATTATTTTAATAAAAAGAACACAAGAAAATATTTTATTTTTATATTTGCCAAATTGGTTTTGGAACTCACCCGCGATGCAAATTTACATCGTTAGATTTAATGCTCTAATTTTTTGATGAGCTTTGAGAATATGTTAGAAATGAGCATCAGATGGTCCACCAAAACCAGAAAAGTTTTGAAAGAGGTCTACGAGAAAAATAAGTTTGGGAACCTCTGGTATACTATGTAATATACCTCTGCAATTTTGTAAGATAATCTAAAAATGTATACATCGTTTTAAGCTGTAATTACTTAAGTAAACGTCTTGGCTGTTCACCAAACCGGTCTAGAGTTTTATCAATAGAATATACAAACGTAAAGACAAAGTCATAAACAATTGAACTATAAATTTAATTATTAGTTTACCATTCTATCCATTTTCGCTCATTGTCGACTACAACCCGGTCTTTATCCCTCTTAAATGGAATTACTTGGAAGTTAGCGAGAATAACTTGAAACAGAACCGGATAATCCAAATATTCACATATTTATGTAATTTTGAAAATTTATGTTGGATAGAGGAACAGATCCAAAGAAACCAAATAGGTGGCAACATCCGGTTTTGACAATCAAATTTCCCATCAATGCGTTGTCAACATCGGATTGGCTGATAGCAAAAAGGATACATACATATTATTGATACACATATTTTTCAGAGTTATGAATACCAATTGTAATAGCCGTAAGCTTTACTGTTTCGATTATTACTGTTTTGTACTAAGCTAGTGACAGACCTTTTTAACTTTTGTCGATATAGGAAATAAACGCGTGACACGGTTACAACAGGTTTTGGCGACGAGGATGGGATAAGTGATAGCACGGTTGCTAGTACAGCGAGACCCAAAAAGCCACGCAGGAACTTCTCCAAAATGTATTGAAGCATATAACCTCTAGTAGTTCGGAAAATGGAGCACCCTCCAACAACAGCGTAAGCCGAGAACAATTAATGGACATATTAGCAAAACAAATGCAAGAGTTTGTTCGTGAGCCGGAGGACCAGAACACTTTTGAGGCCTGGTACACCAGATACCAAGACATTTTTGAAGAAGACGCCAAGCAACTGAGTGACGCAGACAAAACGAGGCTTTTGTTACGCAAGGTTAGTTCCGCAGTTTGCCAGCAGTATGCCAATGTAATTCTGCCGACTAAACCAAGCGAAATTAACTTCAGCACCACCGTGAGCAAATTAACAGCAATGTTTGGGGAGAAGCAATCACTTTTCAACATACGCTTCAAAGTTTTTCAAATCGTAAAGAACGACGTAGAAGACTACATTGCATACATTGCAAGGGTTAATCGGCAATGCGAAAAATTCCAGCTCGACAAATTTAGCAAAGATAATTTGAAGTGCTTGATATTTGTAAGCGGCTTACAAACATCGAAAGACGCAAGTTTCCGCAACGAAATACTCAAAATGCTCGATGAAGAAAAACCAGATAAACCATTTACTCTGGACAAAACAAATGCAGAAATTCAACGCACGCTTCAACGTCAGCAGGACATAAAGATGATAGGTAATAACCAAGCCGTAACACATGCAATTCATACGCAGCAGAATGGCACAGGCCAGCAGCAAAAGCAGTGTGTGGAAAAGGCACAGAAAACACCACCTTCTCCATGTTGGTTTTGCGGAGGTGTGCACTATGCTCGGTATTGTACATATGCGAGTCACAAATGTAACCAATGCGGAACCGTGGGCCACAAAGAAGGCTACTGTAATGTAAGTAAACGCAAACCACCCAAACGCAGTCTGCAAAAACAAAATCCACCGAAGACGCAACAAAAACAGCAAAACCAGAAACCACACGAAAAAACAACAAAGCCAGCTGACACAATGGCAAAAACTAGAAAAATAATAGATTTCGCGCAACGTAGAAAACACATAGACATAGAAGTGTGTGAAAACGTTAAGAAGCCAGTTTTAAGTACAACAAAGCATTCTGCACGTGACGCAAATCGCAACAAAATCGACTTCCAAGGCGAGTTTACTGCACACATTGCACATAAAGGCGATGTAAAGCAAAATTAGAATTTTAGTTACGTCAGTGAACGATCTAAACATCGCAGGACCAGATTTTTTTGAAGAGTTCGGTCTGTGGGACTTACACATCAATTCATTCTGCACGAAGGTACAACTTTCAGCGAAAGAGGCAGAACAAATAGGGAAATTTAAAACAGAGTTTCATACAGTGTTCCGCAAAAAACTTGGACATTGTGAAAAGATAAAAATTCACTTCCATTGAAGCCTAACGTTATACCAAAATTTTGCCCAGTCACATTTTCACCCCTAATCTTCTTACATACCCCAGTACCAAGTCCCAGTACTCTACCTTGAACACCTTTAGAGATAAGCAGTATAAAACAGTAAATTTGTACGGGAGGAACCATGTCCCCTTTTCGAATAACGCAAATTTTTCTCCATGAGTATGGAATTAATTTTGTATACACATCTCGGTGCCAAGTTCCAGTCCTCTGCAATAAACACCTCCAGAGATATGCAGCATAGAAAAATCAATTTGCATGGGAGTTGCCACACCACCTTTTCCAATAACTCTCATTTTTCTCCATGAGTATGGTATTAGTTTCACATACATACATACATATGTATTTCCATACCAAGCTTGAGTGCTTTACCCCAAACATTTGAAGAGATATGCAATATGAAACTTTCAGTCAGTATGGGAGGTGCTACGCCTCTTTTCCAAAAACGTCCATTTTTCTCCGTCAATATGAACATGATTTCACACAGTGTTGGCAAACTGTTAATCTGATTATCGATTAAAAATTAAGGAGTAAAATGTTAATCGCGTTTGACGATTAAAATTAATTAGTCGTAATCAACTGTACGATTAATGATAACATTTTTTTAATCGTTAATCGCTGGCTGCGATTACGTTTAATTAATTTAAAACATTAATCATTAATCCAATTAAAAATAAAATCTGATTAATTTGTCTAGTTTGTCCGAGTTTGAAACCAAACACCAGTTATAGTAATTATTTTGTGTTTTACGCTTATAAAAAGCACATAATATAAAAAAATTATAATTATTGTTATTAGTAATACATAAACTGGGAACTTTTACAAACCTAGTTTGTAAAACGTTTGTTGGTATATATCTTAATGAAAATGCACACCAAATTGCTTAGATTGATGAGGAAGCCCGACTTAGCCATACCGGATTAACTTGCTTTGTGTGCACAGGGAAATTCCAGCATAACTTAATTAATCACCAAACCTACTTGATCAAATTAAGAGTTAACGATTAAAAATTAGTAAGTGTACTAAATTTCGTTCTTATAGGAAAACCGGTTAAGGAAGTAGCCTATTTTTCAATCCAGGTCATAAACCATCTTTGAACAAAATTTCATTTTCAAACAGGTGGCAATTCTTAAAAAAGTAGCCTATTTTCCAGTCTAGGTCATAAGCTATCTGTGTGCAAACTTTCATGCAAATCAGTTCAGTCATTTACGCGTATTAATTTAATTAAACTTTCCTAATACGTGATAACTCTTAAAATAGTAACTTATTTTCCAACATAGGTCATAAGCTATCTCTGTGCGAAATGTCATGCAAATCTGTTCAGTCATTTCCGCGTATTAATTTAATTAAAACTTTTTTAACAGGTGGCAAGTCTTCCAAAAAATTAACCTATTTTCCACTGTAGGTCATAAGTTATCTGCTTGCAAAATTTCATGCAAATCCGTTCAGACTTTTCCGCGTATTAATTTAATTCAACTTTTTTAGCAGGTGGTAACTCTTAAAAAAAGTAGCCTATTTTTCAACCTAGCTCATAAGCTATCTGTGTGAAAACTTCCATGCAAATCAGTTCACTCATTTCCGCGTATTAATTAAATTAAACATTTCTAACAGGTGGCAACTCTTAAAACCTTGCCTACTTTCTAACCTAGGTCATAAGCTATCTGTGTGCAAAATTTCATGCAAATCCGTTTAGTCGTTTCCGCGTATTAATTTAATTAAATTTTTTTAACAGGTGGCAACTCTTCCAAAAAATTCGCCTATTTTCCACTGTAGGTCATAAGCTATCCGCTTGCAAAATTTCATGCAAATCCATTCAGTCGTTTCCGCGTATTAATTTAATGAAACTTTTTTAACAGGTGGCAACTCTTAAGAAAAGTAGCCTATTTTCCAATCTAGGTCATAAGCTATCTGTGTGCAAATTTTCATGCAAATCCATTCAGTCGTTCCCGCATATTAAATAAATTAAATTTTTTTAACAGGTGGCAACTCTTAAAAAAATAGCCTATTAGCCAATCTGGCCCATAAGCTATCTGCGTACCAAATTTCATACAAATTCGTTCAGTCGTTTCCGCGTGATGATTTCCCAAACATCCAAACATACAAACTTTCACATTTATAATATTAGTAAGATTAGTAAGATGTGAGTTTTTCCAACCTAAAATCAAATACTTAGGTCACATAATTGATTCTGACGGCATTCGACTGGATCCAAGTAAGATCACTGCCATTACAAATTTACCAAGGCCAACGAATGTGAGCGAGCTCAGATCGTTTCTTGGCTCAGTAAATTTTTATTGCAAATTCATTGGGACAATGAGATCGTTACGAGCACCGCTTGATGAATTATTGCAAAACCAAAAAAATGGTATTGGTCAGCAGAATGTGAAGCAGCGTTTCAGAAATTCAAAACCATCTTAACTTCAGACTTGATGCTCACCCATTTCAATCCACAGCTACCAATCATAATTTCAGCAGATGCTTCTTCGCAAGGACTGGGAGCACAGATCTCGCACATAATGCCAGATGGAAGTGAGAAACTAGTGGCACACGCATCACGATCTCTGACACCGGCATAAAAGAACTACAGCCAAATAGAGAAAGAAGCCTTAGCCATAGTGTTCGCCGTAAAGAAATTTCACCGCATGGTATATGGTCAAAAATTTATTCTTCGTACCGACCATAAACCACTACTAGCAATTTTTGGATCACACAAGGGTATTCCAATACACGCTACAAGTAGACTTCAAAGATGGGCGCTCACCCTCATGTCATATGACTTCAGCATTACGCATGTAAAAACCGAAAAATTTGGAAACGTTGATATGTTGTCGAGGTTGATACCACCAAAACAACTTGACGAAGAAGAATTTATTGTCGCATGCGCGACATTGGAATTCAATATTAAATCAGTAGTACAGCACAGCATAAACAATTACTCACCATATGATCTAAGATCATAGATCTAAGATGGCCCGCAGATGCAAAGTCATTGCATGATAGCGACTTGGTTTCGTATTACAATCGAAAAGAATCGCTAGAAGTAGTCGATGAAGTTTTGCTAAGCGGAGAACGTATCGTCATTCCTTCAACTTACAGAAAGCGGATTTTGAAGACTCTACATAAAGGCCATCAAGGGCAGCAGCGAATGAAATCCATTGCACGTAGTCATATTTATTGGCCAAACGTCGACAAAGACATCGAAGACTACGTTCGCACATGTGAAATTTGCCAGCTAAATGCTAAGACGTCTACAAAATCCACACTTATTTCATGGCCCGTAGCAACTAGGGATATGCAACGCATCCATATAGACTTCGCGGGTCCTGTTCGATCAAAATATTACTTTATTATATACCACGTTTATACTTAGGGCCGGTTGTTCAATGTCTGGTTATCACTGCCACTACACTATCGACGATTTCGTCATCATGCATGTAACATGTGATCGATAAAGCAGTAGTTGTGCTTAACCGGAGCCTCTACCTCCGATTTGTGCTAATCAGACATTGAACAACCGGCCCTTAAGCTATTTGCAAATACCTAAATCACTGTTTATTCGATGGTGAAAAATTTTTATTTAATATTGCCTGATTATAAAAAGGCAATAATATGACCATCGAAAAATAAAACTAAATTAAAAATGGCAACGTCTTGATTATAAAAAGGCAATAAGATGAACATCGAAAAAGAAAATAAACCTAAGAATGGCGGCGTCTTGCGCTTATTTGCAAATAGTTAGTCTGTTCCAATAGCAGTCCGGTTTACAGGATTTAGTCAGAACTTACAGGAAGTCGTTCCTATTGACATAAAACCTGTAAGTGGGAACACATTTGAGAGAGTAACTGAGCAACTGTTCCTAGTCAGAAGTTACAGGATTTAGTCCGGAGTTTTTTTTCCTGTAAGTTCATGAAAAGTGTCAAACGATCAGCTGATTTACATGTGCAAACAAAAACAGAAAGCGGTGAAAGCAAAGAACCTTATACTTGTTAAAAAACGGAAGTAAACAACGAAATGTTTGAATATGTATAGATTTTAATAATTATTTAGTGATATTTCAGCCAAATCAGTGTAGTACCAATGACATGCCGTTTTTACAGGAAATAGTGCTTTTTGCGTTCCTATACACTTCTGCATCTGTTCTCCTTTTACTCTCATTTGAGAGCGTAAAATTGTAGTTTGACAGTTCCACAGGTTTTAGTCCGAAGTTCAAAGGAACAGACTAAGTATCACTATTCAATACTAAGGGTGGGTAACTCAGCAAATTTATAGGAATTGACTCAATGACTCCAACTCACTTTAAGGAGTCAGCTCATTCAACTAACTCATTTGACTCTTTGTATGTTACACTCATTCGTATCGTAGACTCGTTTTGAGGCATAGATGCGGTATAGCGGCCGTTGAAATAAAACAAAACTTTAAAGTGGGCGTGGTCAGCTCCTTTCTATTGATTTGAAAGGTGTAATTTTTTTTGTGTGCAAATTAATAGGGCGGTGCTAGGGGGAGGGTAAAGGTGGAATTTTCAATATTTTCAAAAGCTTATATTTCGAAACCTATTGTACCGAATTTCAAAATGTGGATATGGTTGGAAAGGCAATTGATTTGATATGCACATCTTTATATATCTTACATACATACATATTTCGAGAAAAACTAAAAAAAAAACGAAATTATAAGAATTTGTGAGATTTGACATAACACCCGCAATACAAAATACATGTGGTTGTGGTTGTTGTATTCTTGCCACCACCTTGTATAAATTCGCCTCGT